ATGACAAATGCATGTTAATAACGATGACTAGTTTGTTAAACGATATGCGCTTAAAAAGCACATTATGCAAAATTCCAAGTGGAAAATTCCAAGCAACAAAACCCGTGCGTACTATGATGTACGACTGATCGGACTGCCGACTGCCGACTGATTGTATATTCGTCATCGTCTTTGCGTGTTGTTATTATTTTTCATCAAAAGAGTGTTTAGCTATTGGAAAAAATGACCATGTTTCTTGAATGAAGTACTTCCTAGCGTATTTTTCTTATTATCTTAAAACAAAGTAACTTGCAGTTGGTTGAATGAAAATAGATTCAAGAGAAATTTTCGAATTTTTCAAGAGAACCAGATTTCTTGAGTTAAGAGAGTTTTTCTTCAGGCAAAATATTTTCTTTTACGCTAAAATAAATTCTCTTGCCACTAAATTTTTTTTTCAAGAACAATGGCGACTTTAGTTCAAGTCTATCTTTTTTATCAGTGTGGTACATTTTTAGTATACGGCTACAAAGAAAGCGACTAAAGCGTTTAAGATTTTTTTTGAGACCAGAAACAAAATAAAACGATATTCATAAGAGTGGTTCGACCAAAAGAGGGAGACGCAAAAGATGCTTCATCACAAACGGGAACAAATCACTACCCCTAAAAACATTTGCACTTATTTAAGACTCACCCTGTATGTATCTTTTAGATTAGGTCATGGAATACATGTCAATTAAAATTGGTCATATGTTTTGATCACTATACAGGGTCCGGCAATAGTGCGTCGGGCATCTGTAGCTTCTAGAATAAAAAACTTGGGAATTTTGTTTAAGTGTAAACCTAAAGTATGATCAAGGATGTATTTCAGGAAAATATTTTAACTTCTATAGGATGGCTCAAAAAAGTGTGAATGGATCGGGATGATTTTTTTTAAATGGAACACCCTGTATATTATTGCATTTTTAGCTTCCTCTCAGATATTCCTAAAATATCAATAAATATATTTCGATAGTTTCAGAGATATTAATAAATAAATAAAAAAATTATATTTTTCAACCTTCATAAAAAAAATATTTCCGAATACAAGAACTGTCCTGAAATCAAAACTATATTAGGTATTTATTTTAGATGGTATATACTTAACTTTGGTATAAATATCCTAATCTTAAACCATACTAATGTTCAAAATTCTACGCCAAACTTTTTAAAATTAAAAATCATTTTTCTTTGTTTTTTAAATAGAACACTCTGTATATTATTTTTTTTATTAGATGGAGAGTTAAAAAATGAACATTTTTTGCATTTAAAGCATTTCAAAATTTTTAATAGTTTTGCAGATACACGCAGTATTATTTCATATAGCGCTCCCAATGGTAAAATACAAGAGAAAAATCATTTGGTAGTTTTGATAAAAATTTACTGTGGAATATCTGCAAAACTGTTAAAAATTTTGAAATACTCCAAATACAAAAATGTTTATTTTTTAATTCTCCATCTATTGAAAACATAATATACAGGCTGTTTCATTAAAAAAAACGAAGAAAAATTATTTTATATTTTAGAAAGTTTGGCGTAGAATTTTGAACATCCTGTATGATTTACAATTTCCATATTTATAGCAAAGTAAGTACAGACCATCTAAAGTAAATGCCTAATATAGTTTTGATTTTAGGACAGTTCTTGTATTATTAATAATTTTTTTAAGAAAGGGCTGAAAAATATATAATTTTTATTTATTTATTAATATCTCTGAAATTATCGAAACATATTTATTCATGTTTTAGAATTATGTAAAGTGATCTGAAAGGAAGCCAAAAATGCAATAATATACAGGGTGTTCCATTTAAAAAAAAATCATCCCGATCCACTCACACTTTTTGAGCCACCCTGTAGAAGTTAAAATATTTTCCTGAAATACATCCTAGTACATACTTTAGGTCTGAACTTAAACAAAATTCTCAAGTTTTTTATTCTAGGAGCTACAGATGCTCGACGCACTATTGCCGGACCCTGTATTCAGAAGCTTCCCATATAACACAACCCTAAGATATCTTGAGGATATCCACCAAGGATATAGTAAATATCTTAAGGATATCCAAAAACCAGAGGAGGATATTTATGGGATATCCAGATGGGACAAAAAAAGTCATCTTCAAGACATCCCTAGGCAAACCTTTTACGATTATTCAGGATATTTATAGGATAATACCCAACATATGATGTTGGGAGCATTATAGAATATTTTTAGGACATTATATGAGGACTGTTATTTGACAATACTTACGTCATCCTTAGTTTATAGGTAGTAAAAACGTTCGCAATTTAGTTTTATTTAGCCACATTTTGACGTTATTCATTGGATATTTTTATTAACAGCTCTAAAATATACCTACATATTATGTCAATGAAAATTTAGAAGTTTATTTGTATGAGTTAAGAGCTTTCAATTTATAGTGTACCATCGAAAAAAAAACGGCGCTCAGTTGGCTTGAAAATTACGATCGATGACATTTCCCATATAATTTTACATACAAAATAACAGCAATCTTCATTTCCAAGCCACCTCTGACGCCGTTTTTTTCGATCGTATGATATTATACCAGATTATACTACCCTTTATGGAGTCTAGCAGCAACAGTTTACATCAAAGTTAACACACAGGGGATACAGGTATCATTTCTAACACCACAACTTCCAGAAACTTAAACAAAAATAGGACACCTAAAAAATTTAAACACAAAAATAGGATTTCTGTTCGAATAGATCAAACATGAAAATGGGTTCAGGGATAAAGAACAAGCGCTTTTCAACAAATTTTCACCTATAATTTTGTCACAAATTTTTCATTGGGAGACCCTGAGTCGTTCGTCGTTTTTCGACATTAGTTGAGGTTAGGATAGAACTTCTGCTAGAAAAAGGCTAGAACTATGAGTATAAGAAAAAACTAAGTCAAACTCAACCAGTTTTGTTAGTTTCAGTCATTTTTAAGGCCATTCAACATCGACAAACGACAGAATTCACCTCGAATATCACTAAATCAAAGAACTGAATAATACAGGATACAAAGAACGCGATACTCTCCCTCCATTCAATTGAGTCATAAATTTCAGAACTGGTTCCGCGCCATATGGAGGCACCAGGCTATCTCGCACAGCTCCTTTCAGAACCGTTCTGAGCAGCCCAGGGCGTAAAGCTCTGGAACTTGAAATTCGCAAATGGAGGACAGCAATACAGTAGCTACAAAGAGCTTTGAATAGCATTGGTTAAATGGGAACTAATTGCGTGACGTCACGTTTGACATCGGGACACAATAGATCTCTAAGGTCGCAGTGATTAGCCCCCCTCCTACTCACCGCATGGATATCAAACTTATGTTCGACATCCGTGCGGCTTGAACAGCATTTCAAGTGATGTTAGTGATGTATAATTCTGTGCCTCTGCTCCTAGCAACCTGCATTTCAAATCCACGCATCGCGTATCACCGTTCGTCTAAAAATATGTACCTGGGTTTAAGTTTGGGTTTGAGAAGTAAAAATTGTACATTTTTTCTTGCAATTGTACCTATGTACTCCTTGACTATCAAATGTACCCAAAATAGTACAATTGTACCTATTGTAACAACACTGGTCGAGATGGATTATGGGAATTTTTTTGCGCGGGCGTTTTAAATTCTCTGTATTACTGGGAGTGGCCAAGCTCCTAAATATCCAGATTATCCAGAAGATACCAAGTTGCCTTGATGTAATACATATCTATCTGTATGGTTTATTGCATTTTATGTAATATAAAAAGTAGTAAATTATTTATTTTTCCTAAATATCTAGACCATATTGTTAGGATATTTTATTATCATGAGCATGTTTGGATATCTCAGCTGGATGTACATTAGATATACGACAAAGATATCCACAGGATATTCTATTCTGAGATATCTACAGGATTGTCTAGGGGATATCCTATAGATATCTTTATAGGATGATCTTGTAGTGGGACATTCCGACATTCTATGGATATCCTGCGGATATTGTGTGTTATATGGGTTCTACGTCCCACTAGTTAACGCGCATACCCAGCAATGTTGCCGTTTGCTGTCGCCATATTTTATGAATTGTTTTAAGAACGGCGGAAAGTAACGCCTAGCCAATTTTGCAAGAGCTGTCCCAGGATCCCGAGAGGTCCCAGGATCGTGTCCCAAAACAAAACTTTTTTATTTTTTTACAACTGTTCTTATTTACAGTTGACGGTAAAAGCAATCAAAATACGCCGTAGGCGTGTGTTGATTCCGTTGGTTAGTCTCTGGGGTAAGTTTTTTTTGTTTAGATTGCACTCGAAATACCCGGTCGATTATCTTTCATGCGCGTGCAGAACTGTGAAATTAACGGACAACAAACGGCAACGTTAGGTATGCGATTTGACTACTGGGACGTAGAAGCTAATAATAATATTCGAGATCAATTTTTTTTTTTCGTTTATCTTTCGGGCTTCATAACGGAGTCGGGGATTCACTTGATTACTTAAAAAGGACAACAGACTTACTACGCACGCGTAACACGACAAATAATTCAAACCGATTCCGAAAAATTCACTTTTTATTTGCTAATGTTATTGAGTGTTTTTTTATCTGTTGCTTGGCTGCCGCCTAACCTTTTCAAAGAAATGCTGCTGTTAAAAATTTATCATAAAAATGTCTGACTTAAATTTTTTTAACGACTTTTTAACGAGTCTTTTCTAAAAAGATTTCAAATGACTGTAAGGATGCAAAGTCGATATATAAATTTTCTCAAGATTTCCATTAGCTAAATGGCACAATAAAAGAGTGTTTTCTTGGTCATATTACGGTCAAAATTTCAAGGCTGCAACAGATTATATTAAACTATTCCCTAATTATATAATAGCCCCTGACACAACCGACATATCTAATTTTACAGCGAAAAATCCTAGGAAACGTAGGCTCACATTTAATTAAGAAATATCCCTATTACACTTTAAATCTTGTTAACAATGTTAACATACCAATTCAGTCAGCGATTACGATTCTAAGCAGAAATGCTTTTCGAAAACCTTTTTCAAACCTTTATTTTAATCAAAATTTTGTTTATTCATGTTAATGCCGTGAATTTGACCGGTAAATCTTATTATTTTAAAACAAACGCGAACAATGAGTTCACGGTTTACAATAGGATTCATTTTTTGAATCATAATATCAGTGATTTTAGCGCTAATCCTCATGGGCCTCAGAATATCAAAGTGATCAAGAAGATTAATGGAGTTCCAGTAGCTAAATTACCAACAACTAAAACTTCTGTGAGTATCTACCAGCTCAATTATCACTAGTAATATCACAAGAGGTTAAACTATTTCCAGCATTTTTTTAGAGTTCATGACTATTTTGTGATTGTAATTATTATAATAATAATTATTATTATTACTGTGTGTTGGAACTGAGGAATGAACGAAACAGGAAATCCCGTGTAAATTTTAAAAATGATGAATAAGTTTCCCCCATTTTATTTTACAGAAAGAATTATTTGAAACTTTTTAAAGAACTCCTTTAAGTAAAGCAAATTGTTCATTTTGAATAATACAGGGTGAGTCTTAAATAAGTGTAGATATTTTAGACGTAGTATATTTCGACCCCAGAAACACGATTATGAGTTTTTTTCCGCAAATAATTTTTTTTGGAAAATTTGGATTTTTTTTAGTTTTTAGTTAAAAAACATAATTTCTTAATAATATGGCCACATAGTGAGTAGATTAAATTTACAAGAAAGAAACTCCAGAAAAGATCCAGTGGTTCTCAAAATTTAAGTTCTCAATATTTAGAATTGAAATAGTCAATACATTTCATATTTCATTATTGACAAAAATAAACATGTTGAGTTATTTGACTGAAATGACAAATTTGAAAACTTTTTATTTTAAATTAATTATTTTTAAATTAAGCATAAATATATAAAATTTATTTTTAAATTAATCATAAATTTTTCTTCGAGAAAATGACGATAAAACAATTTCTGTTGAACTTTTGGCACGAAAATATTTCAAAATTATGATTTATTTAGTCAACATGTTTAATTTATGTCAATGACGACAGGCAATCGCAAATATATATTTTTTTACTTAGTAGTTTTATACAGGTCCGGACAAAAAGTTATTACTTTTCAAACCAGGTAAAAATATGTAGGTGGCGTCATATTGACATCAAAATCAAATTTCTCATGCCAAAAAACTACCAAATACCAATTTTCATCCAAATATTGACGTTATTTCAGAAATTATTTGGAAAAAATCGAAATAAAAATGAAACTTTTACACACTGTATCTCCGAAACTAAGGATTTTAGGACATACATTTATACGAACTTTTTTACTTATTTTTATCTGCAGAATATGCTGCCAAAGTTTCAGGAATACAATTCGGACCACCCTGTAGATATATGAACAATTACAAGTACACTTTAAACATAATAGGATCTTTAAAAAAGTCAAATATATTTCGTAGATAGGTAAATACATTAGTCTAAAAAAAAAAATTATTTATTAAACACTAAACAATTTACAAATAATTAAAGTACTTAAGAATATTTAAATGACTTAAAATTAGGGTTCTTCAAAATTCGCCAAGGAGTAGTACGATGTTTTTTTTATTATTCTGATACATCTTAGTTGTTTTTCACTGCCTATAGGAATATTAGATCTATTTAATCAACTCATTCCGAATTAATTATAGCGTTTGGGTTTATTTTTGATTGGTGCCCTTTAACGGACAAACGAAACGCTTTTGCGAAGAGGTAAATTATGCCCAATTAACTTATTTTGATTCCAAATATTTCTGGTAGTTTTATGCCCACCGAATATTGGGACAACCTGTGTATTTTTTTAATTTTATTGTTCTAGTTAAACGCATCGAATTTCTACCTAGACCCAGAATGGCACTACGATCACAAACAATTCAACAAATCCGATCTACCATACTTCATTAAGAAATTCTACGAACACCGTGTAGAAGAGGCATGGAAAACCAATCCAATTCGAATTTTGTTCAACAGTAACAGAAACACGTCTAGCTCTATCATCAAGTTCAATTTAAACAGCTTGAGTCCATACGAAAATGTGTCAGATGCAGATTTATATTTCTACTGGCCATTGAAAAATACATCCAGGTAAAATATTTGATAATTTTCAAAACAATTCTGTTTTTAGATATACTATTTTGCGTATAGATATTCAGTTAATTGGTGTTATTTGTCTATTATTTTTGTTTTTATTTAAATAACCTAAAAGACAATTGATAAACAAATTTTGACGGTAAACCTCAAGCAACAAATGTCAAAATTACATGAAATCATTTATTTATACACATAATATTATGTGATCAGTGTAAGGCGATACCACAGATTATAAACTTTGTTTTTTCTTTATTGTTTTTCGTGGTTCCAATTTTCGGAATCGGGCACTAGTTAGGTTACTAGTTTGCGCACATAGCACGCCCACTTATGGCCTCTAAAATTGTGCACAGCGCCTGACCGGAACAGTTATTAGAGAGATATCGGAAAACCGAATAGCGTCATGGAGTATTTACGAATACCTTATCATGGTTACGATATGCGCGAGTCAATTTTTAACGCAACACCCGCTGAACATTTAAAAATTGCTTAAAAGGACATGTGCGGGTACTTGACAACCGGGGCCGGCCGGCGAGATCTTTTATTTTAGGTTATATGTGAATTGATTTGAATTATTACTTTAGTTTTATTAGGTAATTTGATGTTTAAGTAGCTGGGATTAGTTTTTAATTAAATAAATATGGCCTAAAATATGGATTCCATCTATTCCAATCTATTAAAGAACCTATAAAGAGGCTTAGGTTTAGAGCAGATGACGACTTAGCCCTTCTAAGAGAATTTGTTGCTTGTTGCCCTAAACCCACTGGCAGACGTTGAACAATAAAGTACTGGAAATAAGCACTTTAGCCCTTTAGTTTTAAAATATCTAGTAAACAAAACAATTTCAAAGTTTTAAATTCAAAGTTAGGTTAAGTTTAAATAGCGGACGCGACGCGAACAGAATTCTTTCCGATCCGATAACTATAAATGAGAGTTAATACCATCTTACGTAAAGGAAATAACACCTGGCCTTATTAACGTCCATGCACGCTATTCGATATAGCTAGCGATATCTCTCTATTACGCTGTTTATTGTTATTTTACGCGAGTTTATTTTTGCGTACAGGAAATTTTACTCGTTTGCACATCGTCATAAAAAACAATTTTCGTACCACGAATTAGGGATAAGATTTTTATCTGTATACATATAGTATACCTAATCTGTGGCGATACGAATTAAACTTCTAGTTACGTAATCGGGGGCGCGATTTTTAAATTCATTGTTGCCAACCATGGACATATTCGGCGCCGGGCTGACTAACTGGAATTTAAATTTCCCGCTGTTGATTCAGGTGGTAGCTCCGTCAAGTTGCCATATTTATTTATTTATTTCCTGACGTTTTGACACTTTAATTTTGTATTACGAGCTTTTGGTTTCAATAAATTGTATTGTGATACTTTAAGTTAAAAAAAAAATATTAGCAGATTTTGCAGTCAAACGTTGTTCTTTCTAGAACCTCTTTTAATGCAAAGAGTACAAGACAGCTTAATAGCCAGTGCAAAAACTCATCCCAACTTTATTAGAATATTTTGAACGGGAAAGCGGTAGTAATGGCCCTTTATGCTTTATGTAAATAATAACTGTTTACATATTTATAATTAATTTATTTTTGTTTTCTAAAATATTTTGATTAAAAGAAAATATGTAAAAGTGGGCAACACTGTGCCGGTCAAGCCTAATCACGTGACTAAAAGTTTAATTGGTATGAACTATAGATTTTATTATTAATTGTATCACGCGGCTTTGTATCACAACAGACCCAAGTCAAAGCTTGTTTGATCGTAATTGATAGATTTATACATTAATCTTGTTCTAGAATGCATGTCATACTCATAGAAACAAAGCTCTTTGTAATAACTGATGTCATTGCTAAATCGATGAAGTTTATTATATTATCTAAGATTTGTTTAGCTATTATACAGGGTGTCCCAGAAATAAGTGCAAGTATTTTAACTGGTAGTATAGTTCAACCCCAGAAACACGCCTACGAGGTTTTTTCGCGATTTTTTTTTTAAAATTTGAAATTTTTTTTAGTGTTTAGTTAAAAAACATAATTTCTTGATAATATTGCAACATAGGTATTAGATTAAATTTAGAAGAAAGAAAATCCAGAAAAAATCTTTTTTTTTTAATTTTCAAGGTAAAATAACTCCGTTATTTTGGACTTATTTGAAAAACAACAAAGATAAAATATGTTTCTTTTATTGAGATTTACCACCCCTTAAAAATACTTGCATTTATTTCTGAGACACCCTATATTGTGGTGAAATATTTTTTAGTATATACAAGAAATCTGTTGTTTTACGTCTGTATCAACTGGAATACCAGCCTGAACAGAGTGGAAATGGATCAAATCTACTGGATAATCCAGACATTCATAAATTGTTTAATGTCATCTATATATCAAAAGCACAGAAAGGATGGCAGGTGAGTATATTTTTGCAAGTTTTCTATAAAGTCGATAAAATAAAAATTTTGATTATTATTTATTGATTTATTTTGATCGATTTAAAAGTCACTCGTTTATAAGCTATTCATAATCAGAAGTAAGGCGCAAATATAAAATTATGGTAAAATTTATATAAAGCACTAGTTTGTTGTTATAGTCTATAAAATGAATAACTTTGAATTTTGACCGTTATTTTTTATCAACAGGGCAAATATAAAATCCCTCTATCAAAAGAGTTACTGATATTCTTTAAATTGAGTGCCTGAACGAATCAGATAGGTAACTCTTTTTACTTTCGTGAAATAGAAAAGGAAAATAATAAAGCAAGCGACAGTTCTTCCTCTTCTTGCAAAAACCAACACAATTGTCAAAAGTAAAATGTCATCAGCTTTTGACATTTCTAAATATCAGACCAATGCCGTCTCTAATAGAACAGCCTCGGAGCCAGATTTATGACGTCACGCTAGTGAGACACTACAGATTAATAAATATGTTGTAGAATACATGGAAAACATAATAATTCCTCGTATTTTTGGTTTATATTTTACAAATGATACAGTTTACATGAAATATACAGTTAATTAATACAATATATATATACCTATTTATAGTAATAAATTCTTTGGCAAATTAACTATGAACCATACAAATGCAACAAATGTTTTACAATATACAAATAATGAAGAGGTACATAAGATAATGGGTAAAATGTAAAATATATTTTAAATTTTGGGGTGTGAAAATCGATCTAATTTAACAAAAAACATTCAACATCTACTAATAGTGATGTATTATTATTTGCATTCACAAAATGTATATGTATATTTTGCAAGTATCAATGTTCGAAATATTATATTTGCAAATAATACAATATCATAGAAAAAAAGGCGTCAGCGATGGCTATGAAATAAAGATCGCTGTCATTTTATATGTAAAATTATTCTAAAATTTTTGATTTTCTTGGGATTTAGGTTCGGAAAAAACGCTGATTAAGTTTTCATTTGTTTTTTCATTATTTTTTTTTGGTTTAAAGAAAACGTGGTTTAAAAGAAAACATCATAGCCTTTATCAGTGTTGTCATATGACAAAAATAATGTCGAATATAATCCAAAAAATTACATATAAAATATTCACACCACACACCACATAATGTTTACTGCAATTAATAAACTAATATAAACTTGTCAAAAGATGACCAAGTATTTTTTAAAATTATTATTCTTAACACTAAAACTATCTACATTGACTATGGAGTACGATTTCAGTCATAGTAAGTAGTAGACATTGAATGTTGTTTGTTCAATTAGATCGATTTTCAAACTCCAAAATTTAAAATATATTTTACATTTTACCCATTATCTTATGTACCTATTCATTATTTGTATATTGTAAAACATTTGCTGCATTTGTATGGTTTATTGTTTATTTGCAAAAGTATTTATTACTATAAATAGGTATATATATTGTATTTATTAACTGTATATTATGTATATTTCATGTAAACTATATCATTTTTAAAATACAAACCAAAAATACGAGGAATTATTATGTTTTCCATGTATTCTACAACATATTTATTAATCCGTAGTATTTAACTAGCGTGATGTCATAAATCTCGCTCTGAGGCTGTTCTATTAGAGACGGCATTGCGTCAGCATGGCTGCAAGTGGCTAACCTAATAAAATTAACACTAGAAAAGCCCGCGGGAACTGTCAAATTCAAAGTTATTCGTTTCACAGACTATACCATAGAGCATGAACATATTGTTACGTTTTTCGTCGGTTCCGTGTGGATAGAAAGTCACAATTTATTCTACACTAAGTAACAAAAACAATAACGATAAAAGACTTAAAGAACGATTTGCAAACTATTTATCTAGAAAGAATTTATTTTGAATTTAGCGCGGCAACTTTATTCGTCTTTTTATTTTCTGTCCTCCTCAGGCCCCAGGCCAAGAACGGTAAACTAATAGGATTGCTCATCCTCATAAGACGTACGTTCCCGCGCTTCAGCTGACAGTTGTGACGTCATTGTAGCCCTTGTCAAAGCCTTCGTGGCCTTGTCATGATAGTGTGTATTATTAGTTGCGTATGGTAAACTTATAAAAATAACAGCTGAGAAATTTTGAGTTAATTATTTTGTCAATTTTTTTTTAGAGCCATAGAGTGTATAAATACGTTCATTTTGTGTTGTGGATTGTGACAAAGTGCATACTAAGTGCCCACGATTTTGTTTATTAATTATTTTAAAGCAAAATATGGAAGTACTCTAAAAAGAATGCTTGCAAAAGGTGATGCTGGGAACTGCTGTTCTTAAAAATGCATTATCCGAGTATTTAATACGATTTATACAGTTAATTTTCTACAATGCATACATATAAGGTGTTTAAATAAATAAACTAAATAATGAACGTTTTGCATTCGGCAACCAATAATGCACGTGTGTGTATTATTGGTTACCGGATAAGGACTAATAACCATAACAAGGACTACAATGACGTCACAAAGCGAGTAATTTTCGCATGCACCTGGCAGACACTTTTGGCTGAATGAGCAGTCATATTAGGTTAACTGTTCTTGGCCCCAGGCATCGGCTTATATACCCACAGCTGAACAGTTCTCGAATAGTCCGTTAGACGTTAGATCATTAGGTGTATAGAGAAGGTTTTTTTAGAACGTTCTCGTATGTATTCCTCCATTCCAGTGGAACTCGATTGTTCTCGAACGTTCAAATGAATCATTACGGTGTCTATTCTTTAATGCGGTATTAAGGTCATATGGGGGCGGGACATAATATAGTTAGGTTAGGTCGAGTCCACACGGGTCCGCAACAATATGAAATAAAAATATTTTTAAAGAGTTCTTGAGGAATGCCTTTGTATACCACCTTAAAAATCTCATCCTGTAAATAAATTATAACTTCTAAATTAGCATTAACTATTTTATTATATACTAGATTAAAATTTTTAAATCTAGAAAGCAAACCTTTAATAACGTGTTTCCAACAAAAAGAATCATATGACAGTGTCATATTTGAAGTCTGTATATTAATTCACAGGTATTAAATTGTCTTTTTCTGTCTTTTTTTGGAGGTCGTCTATCTAAACCTTTCCTTATTAATTCTGATGCTTTCTTATACATCTAATTGCCTGTAATTTGAGACTTGGTTTAATTAATTTTAAATTATTAAGATCTATACAATGTTCTTTATCGACAATATGTTCAGCAACGCAAGATTTATCCGGTCTACCATATCTTATCTGAGCTAAATGTTTTTTATAATTCTAGTTAAAATTGATCTTCTAGTTTGTCCAACATATTTCTGATTACAAACTTTACAAGAAATTTTATAAATACCCGAATTTCCAACCCCCAACTGTAATAACACACTATGGAAATGTCATTAATTTTAGACTTTTAAAATCAAGAAGCCGATTGATAACTGGGCAAAAGGTGAAGAGAATTTGGGTCTCCTTCTGACAATATCCGATTATGATGAAAACAAATTGATATCCATTTATAACGACACCAACAGAGGAGCCTACAAGACATTTGCTGTCTTGAACATCCAAAATAATGGTAAGTTATTCATAGCCTTAGTGTATTCATAATATGTTAAGGATTTTTAGTTTAGAGTTCTTAGAAATTTATGAAAATTTCAAGTAAATGATGATTATTTAAACGGAACGATTAACAATGATTTAAATTGTTGACAATACTCTGATAGAAACACTTCGATAAATTTCGAAATAATTTTATTTATTTACTTTAATAAAAAAATTCTAAAGTATTTTCTCTTTCAATAGATACAGATGCTCAACCACATTTAGAAGAACCAGAAACCGCCAATAACGTTGCAGCATTAACCAGTCCAACCATTCCTCCAAGCAACAAATGTTCCAAAAAGTCCTGGTTTGTCGATTTCAGCCAATTGAACTGGTACGACTTCATAATCCACCCAGAAGAAGGCTTCATGGGCTACCAATGCGTTGGAAAGTGCCACATAGAGAACCACGATCACCAGTTTGTCAATTACGTCAAATTGAGGCACTGGAATAACGGACAAGGACTGAGAGAACGAAGTTGTTGCGTGGCGACGAAATTCTCTTCTTTACCGATAATGTTTTTTGATAGATTTGGCAACGTGGTGATGAAGAATTACGAGGATATGGTGGTTGATGAATGTGGATGTAGATAAAAATAAGAAACGTAGGATTATACATTTTGATAAATCTGTTAAAAAGAATAATTTATATTGTATATTTTTTGTTTTAATTAATATTTAAATCTTATAAAAAATGTGGTATTATTTATTTCAAAGTAAAAATATTTTAAATAATAGATATTTATAAATCTAGTAAATTAACTTTTTCAGTATGCGTCGAGATGTTTATCAACAGAATTTCCAAACAAATGCTATAAAAGTTAAACTAAAACATTACTACATCTATATCTCTGACAACTACTAACCAACAATTTGTTTTGTGTGTTCTGTGGTCTTTTTTTGTTTATTAGTCATTATTTATAGTGATTTACAATTTACAGTAATTTTATTGAATTATACAACATTTGCCTCTTCGACCATACACTTGGTATTTCGAATCAAATTTTCATTACGAACCGCAAGTTATAATTTCAAATAAACCATATGCTAAAATTTCAAAATGTGTCAAAAGTTGACATATGATATGTCATTCTATTCAGAATGTCATTTTCTATCGAATAAAGTAAAAAAATACCATGGGTGCCATTTAAGAATCAAAAGTTTTAGTCATTTCCGGTGAAACAGGAAGTGACCAAAAACAATTGAATACGTCAATTAATCCTAATTTATGTCATATACTAACATACCAAATCTCGTTTTTTATGTCTGAAAAAATAAAAAAAGTTATAGGGGGTGAGCCACTTTTGAGACGCACCCGTATACATAAAACCGTCCCAGATACATAAAACCGTCCCAGATACTGGCTTTTGTCAAAGCCCTGGGACTGTATGATGTGTTATGATTCAAGAAAGGGGGACACAATGGATCTGTAAGGTCGAAGTGATTAACCCCCCTCCCACTCATTCTAAATTCTAAAAAACATACCAAATCTCGTTTTTTTGTCTGAAAAAATAAAAAAGTTATAGGGGTGAGCCACTTTTGAGACGCACCCGTATACATAATATTGATTTTTCCCAATATATTTTAAGATTTCATTAAATAGTAACAAAATCAAGGAAAAAATCTTTCGAAAAACTAAATTTAATAAATCCCAAGGTAATTAAATTCAATTAAATCTGAACGTTTCTGATGAAGAGAACGATCCAAACGAATAAATAGCAAATTAAATCCCTGCAAAGCGCTTAAACAGCGAGATGAAATGAAATTTTTACTTTTTCCCAGGGAGAGAGCGAATCCTAGTGGAAAATCAGTTTCCATGGAGCCGCTCCATCGATCGCCGGCCTAGTGGGTGTTCCATACGTAGGTGTAGAGCTCTTTTCAAGTATTCATATCAAACGTATTAGATATATAGATCTATATGTAATAATGTCGGGAGTTTTGGGTTGATTCTTGAGTCTTTTCTCGAATTCCTAAAATATATTACGTACCTACACGGCTGGAAATGTTCTTTTGAATTCAAGAGTATGGGAATGTCAACTCTATGCGCTTAGTACAAAAGTCATTATCTTTCAGATTCGAGTATGTCTACATATAAATGAAAAATACTTACTATGAAAACCCGACACAATATTCCGCCACCCTAAAAGTTTGATGTTTCATAACTTTTTAATTTGTAATCCTATTTTTATGGTTATTAGTTTGTAGATAAATTTGTTGACATTATTTTTTATCATTTTAATGGATGATATATTTCTGTTAGGTGGGTTTATACCGGGGTAAATCAAAACTTCGTTTTTTGCAATAAATTCAAAACACCCTGTGGAAAAAATGGGACGGGCATTTTGGATAAAAAACACTTTCCTGTGATTTTAGATGTATTCCTAACATTTGATTTTTTTAAATATCATATTGTCCCTATTCCTTTATGAGCTACACATTTTTAAATAAAGTACTGATATTTTTACAATCTGGAATTTGTTCAAAATGGAGCTCTCATTGCCCACCGTTCTACTAAGGATGTCCTCCAAGGAGGGGTCGTTCCATTTGCTCCTTTCATTGGAAATCAGTTTATACTGATTCATAATAATTCCAGGTCCCACGTTGCGCGGGGTAACGAGTTAGGAGTTCGAGTAGTTAACGGGTACCTGGACGAGGTTGGACTACGAAGATTGGAATGACCTCCTTGTTCCTTGTAGTCCCAACATCAATCCAATCGAACATTTATTGATGAACTTGAAAGAGCTGTTTGTCAGTGGCGGACTAAGGGGGGGGGCTGTAGGGGCGGTCCGCCCCGGGCCTCTTCTTCTAGGGGGCCTCCAAATTTTAATAAGTAATTTTTTATTCAACTGGCAAACAGGCCAATATGTGCTCAGTAGTTATAAAGCAATTTGTAGTTAGTGTATGCAAACCATAAGTATACGCAAACTAAACACAGTATATGTAAATGGAAGCAGATATTTACTTAATTATAAATTATTAGGCCCCAGTAATTGTCAATGGCATTTTTCTATTTACAAAATTAAATCAAGGGGTAATTTTCTTTGTTTAGAATATCGAATATGTACCTAATTATTATTTTTTATATTCGAATAATTATTATTTATTCTTGGACATATATAGGAGTATACCGCGATTTTGTAAGGGGCCCCTTACAAAATCGCGGTATTTGATGTAGGAAAATGATTTTTAATGTTTTTAAGCAAGTGCAAGCATGCAGTGTAATGGAAGGAAAATATAAATAAAAAATTAGAAATCAAAATTATTTATATTACTTTTTATTACTTTATATTACTATTTAAAAATAATATTTACTTTTACTGGCATTTACTTTAAAAAATAAATGAAATATTTCTTCGCAAAAAACTACATGTAAGAGAATTAGGATAAACAAAATACAAACGTTAACTTTTTTTTAAATTGGCACGTGTAAAACTTTCAATTTAATTTTCTAACCCCAAAATTTGAGTTCAATAACCATTTACTTAACCACATTACTTAAATATGATTATTAAGTTCTAACTAATTCATATTATTAAAACATCCAAAATACAAATATGTATTTTTAAAATTAATTGTAAGTTCATCTCATCTCTCTTAAAAATTGTTACTTCTCAACATTTCCCATTAAAAAAATGCAATCTAACCTAACCATAATATACCATATAAAATTAAATAATTGAAAGATCGGGTTACGGAAAATCACACAAATTTTCGGAAAATTTTTGACCACTTCGCACACAATCGTCAATTAAAAAAAACTACTATTTTAGTATTTTAAATATTTTAATAAACGCAAAAATAGCATAGTATTTACAAGGCGAAGTTATAAAAATTTAGAAGAACTAATAATGCACTGACGCACACAAAAATCAAACGAATACTAAATTTCATTTATCAAAAACATTCGCTAGTCGTGGCTCGTGGCGCAACGATAACCATTTAGTCGCACGGCGAGGTTGTCACTTATGCTTTAGTATACAAATGAATGAATGATTTTATTCGAATAAAACCATTCGATAGTTGAAATCATTCATTCAGTAACCATTCGATAATCTAATTCATTCGATAGTTCCCATCGCTAGTTTTCTCATCTATAGTGGCGTTAGGAATCTAAAAATACTGTTTTGTTTACAATTATACGACTTAGAGAACAGCCAAATCATGTATACTCTGTATAGAAAAATTGTCTTTTTCAGGTTAACTCCAGTTTTAAGATGGAGAAAAGTATGTCATATATTTAACTAAACGTTGCTTTCTTTTTTTAGAATATCTGTGACCTTTGAAGGAATCTAATAAAGACAGATCTATTCCAGGACATTACAAAAACCATTCGTCATTAGACAAAATTCACCGGGATACCATTGTATCTATTGTTTTTTATTTTGGAAGACATTCAATACACTTGTATTTACCTACTTATCACCAAAAGAGTAATTCCGAAATAAAGTTATTTTATTAATAAATTTGATATTTATTTCATTTAAATTGTTAGTACTGATCCTATTTGATTAAAATCGACTCAAACTTATTAATAACTCACAAAGTGACATATTAATAAATCATTAAGCATTGTACTTCAAAATATAAAGAGAAAGGCTTGAAATAAAAGGAATGTATTACAAAAGGAACATGTAGATGTCTTATTAATTCAATTATGACCATTAATGAGGCCAAAATATGTTTGATTTTATTTGATTCATTAGCATTTTTTTTATTTTACAACGTTCTTTTCTTTCAGTGTTCAATCTACTGAGATGTGCATCGAAGAGTGTCCTGTTAAAAAACCCGTGACAATCCAAAGATTGTTCTTACTCAATTATTTTTGGTCGTAAGTCTTTAATTTTATTAAAAACTTGTCTATTTTTAATCTACTCTTCACAAAAAGATTCTTAAATGAAGCTAGAAAATAATGTTGTATCTCATCAAAGATTACAAGCACAACTAAGTAAACTTTGCCTCATAATCATAATTTTTCGTATTACTGTTTAAAACTAATCGCGCAAACTTAAAGCAGTAATGATGACAAGAAGCGAGAAAACTTGTTCAAAGAGGAAAAACGACAGCTCTAGGAGACCTCGAAGGGGGCAGGGGGGAAATTACTTAATAAGGTTTCCAAAACAATCAGGCCGGATATTCCAAAATGGCCGCCATTTACATATCCCCGGGAATTTTTTTTTCGGAAAATTGAAACAGTAGCTCTATTTAAGTCCCGCCCACTGCGAGCCGCTATTGGTTGGGCCGGATCGGTGCCGACAGTGTTTCGAGGATTGTAACAGTGGCAGGGAGCCAATGGAGAGGGCGTCGCGGCGCTGGCGCTTGTGGAGATGAAGCGTCGGGACGCCGCACACGGGCGCCGTTTGTGGCGTCGCTTGCTCCGTGCGTCCCCGCTAGCTGGTAAGTTTTTCTTTTTTGAGACATAATTTTCTCTGTTTTTTCTTAATTTGAAACTTTGTTATATTAGATTGTGTTTAAGTATTAGTTTCTAATTTTGGTTTTTACATTTTTTTTATAGTATTAGGTACACCTTGTTTTTTCTTTTAAATCTTAACTTCCTCTCATTCTCCTTTTTTCAGTCACAATTTTCTCTATTTTTCCTTGATTTAAAACTTTGTTGTATTTGATTTTGTTTAAGTATTTTAGTTCGATATTTTGGAGTTTAAATTTCTTTAGTTTTTTTAGTTGTATGTTGTATTACACCTTGATTTTTCCTTTAAATCTTAACTTTCTTTTCTATTGTTTACAGCTTTGTTATATTAGACTGTGTTTAAGTTTTTTAGTTCGCTATTTGAATTTTTCATTTTTTAAGTATCTTTCTTACTAATATTAAAAATAGTATTATTTTTCTGTTTTAAATCTTAATATCCTCTATTTTTATCTTGTTTTACAACTTTGTCATATTAGATTTTGTGTAATAGTGTAAGCCGTTCTTTAGTTAGTTTTAAGCATCATTTTTAATAATATTAAAGTTCGTTTTATTCCTTTTAAATATCAACTCCTTTTTTCATTCTTTCTTGTTTTTGCAACTTTGTTAAATTAAATTTTGTTTAAGTTTATAGTTTGTTATTTGGATTTTGTTGAGGTTTCTTTAGTTATTTTCTAGTATTTTTATACCTTGTTTTTTCTTTTAAATTTCAATTTTCTGTTTCGCTTGCTTTGCAGCTTTGTGTGTTATATATTTTAGTTTATATTTAAGTTTCTATATTTCAATACAATTTTAGATTGCAATTTTCTTTATAGGTCCATCAAGTATTTTTTGTTTTGTTTTAAATAATATTTAAATCTTTTTTTGCAGTTTTGTAATTTATTTTATTTGTTATATCGCATTTTTTTAATTATGCAGTAGTACATATCTTTTTAACAAGTAAAATGATAATTTAGGCTGTTTTCCTGTCCAATTTTTTTATATTGAATAATGAAAGTTTTTACTAGTTTTTTTCTCCCTTTTTATAATTCTTTGTTATATTAGTTTGTATTTAGGTTTTTAATGTCTAATATTAATTTTCTTATTTATTATTATAATATCAGTTGTTTTAAGTTTGCTTTTTCGATTTTTTAGTCTTCTTTATTATTTTATGTTTTTATGGATGATCATACTGTTTTAAATTATTTACATTTTAATTCTTTTTTTTTCGTTTGCTTAGAAAGTTTTTTTATATTAGTCCCTCTTTAAGCTTATGGTACCTATTATTACATGCAATTTTAAGTGTACTTTCTCTAGTGTTTTTTTATTTTTTGTATTTTTTTAAGAGGTTTTTGTTTATTTTTTTGTCTGTTTCATTCTTTTTAACCTGTTTTGAAAGTTCTAAAAAACAAAATTATCTTGAAAATTTAGCGTATATACAGAAAAAAGTCTTAATTTACTGTTATTCTTTTTTAAAATTTTATATCATAATTAGTCGTGGGTTAAAAAATACTGTATAACAGAAAAAAATGCATTAAATTGACTTAGAAATGATGATAGTTACACCATCAAATAGTTTTACATAAAAAAGTATCACCTTCATTTCGTACCTCATCTGACGCCGTTTTTTTTCGATCATATGGTATAGTAAAGTATTGCCAGTGGAATAGCTGTTTGAACAGTGCTAACTTATTCGGTAAATAAATAAATTTGTGCTATTTTTTAGTACTTTAGTAGTATTATCATTTTAAATTTTTATTATTTTCTTGTAAATTTCTAAGAGCAACTTTTTTTCCATTGAAAATAGTTTATTAATTGGATTTATTAAAACTTTTTGCCAAGTTTGTTAGTTAATAATAACTTCATAATTTTTGTTAGAATTTCATTTGGAAAATTTTCACTTGGAAACAAGTAATCTATAAAGCAGGATGTATTTTAAATTAAATAAAAAATTACCGGATATACAATATCATATATTTGTTAGTTAATTTAAAAAATACGGCTTATACAGGGTGATGCTTAACCTATAGGCATACACTTGGGAAATTATTGCTGATGACAAATAATGACTAATAATAAAAAAAAAATGTTAGTAAAATATTTTTAGGTTCTGAAATAATTTGAGTTTTTTTTTCACAAAAATTTATTAACTTTATCAGTAAATGCACAATCAATTTAATCGAATTTACGTTTCTTGTTTTTATTTCAAATAGTTTGTTACCTCCGTAAATAAAAATATTTTACTAACTTTTTTTCATTATTAGTCATTATTTGTCATCAGCAATAATTTCCCAACTTTATGCGTATACGTTAAGAATCACCCTGTACATATATGTAGATTTTCCAATAAGCTGTAATTCAAATATTTTTTTTATAGGAAATATGCATATTTGTTAGCCTACGGGCATTTTCTCGTATTGATCAACTCTAGGAATATATTCAAAAATAAAGGGGGTGTAGACCATTCTACAATCATGCGCAGTAAAATTGTTGCATAATACTAAATTAAAAGTTAAACTGGTCGATATGAATGTGGCAGATATAAATTTCCATCTAACTTTTTCAGTCCAATTCTATTTATCATAATTTTGTAGTATATGATTACCATTTTCTGCCTTCAAAATTGAAACGATTTAATTAAATACCTACATTTCTATTTTAATTCCTTTTTTTTAATTTATTATGATACATAAACAATAAAAAAAACATATAATCTAATCATTATTACAGTAATCTAGAACATTATTATAAAAATGGTAAATTTTATAATTTCTAATTTTAAAAATGTTTTTTTCTTTTTTTGTTTCAGATAATGGATTTATTAAGTTCAACTGAGCGTGTGTGATTTTAGTGTATGTAATTGATTAGTGTTCGTAGGTACTGGCTTTAGTACCGAGAAACTTAGTTACGTGTTTTTGAGTGGTTCACCGTAGTTGAATAACTATCAGCAAAATGGTGGCAGGCTGGTAAGTGCTATAAGTAGAAGTATAGGTTTTTTCAGTAAATTTCATTAAAATATTGATATCTAGTTATTCTAAAAAATTGAGGAGAGTATTGGAAGTTATATGGTACACCTAGATGTTATTCATATAATTTTTTTATTTCTTGGGTATGAGGTTTTATAATAAATAGAAAGATAGTGGGCTTTTTCGGGATATTCATTGATGAGGCGTTCTGGTGTTTCCCCGTGTTTCCCACAGAATCTTCATTTTTGCGTTGTTTCTTAGCTTCAATCTGCTGAGATGTTCCTTGAGGAAACAGTGTCCTTTTAAAGATCTCGTAAGAATCCGAAGATTGTTCTAAAAAATATTTGATTTTTTAAAATATAAAATGAAAAAAGAATCAAAAAGAACGGGTATATAAAATAAAACAATTTATTAAATTTATATAATTTTCTAGGCTTTATTAAGTTATAGGAAACAAAAATTAAAATAAAAACAAAAGTGGAAACTAAAAGAACAAAGAGGCAAAAGCATAACAAAAATTATTAAGAACTAAAAAATTGGCAAGATTTTAAAAAATGTGAAAAAATAAGTTTATAGGTTTTGAAATATTCTTCTCAACAAACATTTTAACTAGGTACCTAACTGAAAATATAAAAATAGAAAAGAAATTACGAAATATTAAAAAGAAAGTACCAAGTAATTAATTTAACACACTTTTATGGGTGTACTAACGCAACAAGTTCTTCTTATTCCTACTCGTTTATTTTTCAATTCCGTTCGTCTCTAACCTCATTTGTACCTTTGGGATACGGTAAAATGAGCCTTATTGAATTATTTTGCGACTTTCGCCGACAGGAGAAACGCGCGGAGAGGTTGTAAGTCCCAGGGGACCAATTTCATTGGGATTCCCTGCTTGCGTTTATTCCCCTGATGGTTTACGAATACTGTGGCGGATGAGGTATTTATTTTTGTGTCCTATCGACAGACCAGAAGAGAGTCTGATAAGTTTTTTGATTTAGAAAACAAGATGAAAATTGGTGTCTGAGAGTTTTTTGACATGAGAAATTTGATTTTGATGTCAATATGACTCCTACTAGTAGACGGCGCCACCTACATATTTTTTAACTGGTTTAAAGTGTAATACGTATGTTTTAAGTGTTTAAACTTTTCGTCCGTACCTGTATAAAACTACTGAGTAAAAAAATATACATTTACGACGTTTTTTACGTGAAAAAGGTCTCTTGGTAAAAATCGCTACGAGTAATGGCTTTCGAGATATTTTAAATCGAAATTATCAATACCTGTCATCATTGACATTGTAGCGTTTTTTAAACAACTACCACTGCGAACGGTAGCTTTTCATCGGAGAGCAGTCGTGGATAAGGTATTTCACTGGAAAGAAAACTAATTAATAACAATAAATAAAAGAAATAGATATTGGGCGCCAGGCATGTACAGAGAAAGAAAACACAGTTGTATATTACTTAAAACTAATGACTGTATTTCATGATGTTCTTTGCTGGTACATGACATTGTAGAATTCTAATAAGTATATAGTGGTTATATGTCAAAAAATGGTGTTAAGAGTTGTACTGAATATCTATGAAAGTAATACCATTACAAGACGTAATGTAATTAAACCTAAGATCTAAATTATATTTTAAAGATTAAATCGACATGAATGTTCTTAACAATCTAACCACTAAACATAGTCTGTACGATATTACTTAAGATGTACGTTATTGTTTAAGACCGAAAATGTTTTAGATGTTAAATGTAAAACTAGAACTTAAATCTACACTTAGCTGTTCTTTATGTAACCTTGCTTCAAACAGTAGCAGCGTGAGGTGGTCTCGCATCTCTGTACTCGGCCATCCAATACAACAAAAGGGCGCCAGAATGAGGACACCATGAATTGATACAGCCGTAACTACTGACTAGACTGAGAAATGGGAACGAAGCAGCATGGGGCTTACGCTACATCCATACTGAGGCAATATGGGGACACTACTCGTACCTTGGAACACTACTAGGACCTTGGATAATGTCCGTAACTTGGACCATAACCTGGAACACAGTCCGTCCATAAGACAATGTACGTCCATAAGATAATGTACGTCCATAAGGCCCTAAAAATACGAAACTCTTGTTTAAAAAACCAAACAAGGTCTAATAAACAAAATAAACCTACCTCGAAACACTTCCGAGGGCTCAATAATAAACAAAAGAATTAAAAATTAATTAACAATTCATGGTGTAGGCATTGCGATCAAAAACGAAATCGCCACCAAGTTAACAGAAGTACCTATTGGTGTCTCCGAACGTCTTATGAGCCTAAGGTACCCCATATCAGACAAAACTTACGTCAACATCATTAGTGCCTACGCTCCCACCCTTGACGCTAAAATTGAAGATAAGGATAAATTTTACCAAGCTTTACAAAATGCCCTTCAACGAATTCCAAAGCACGAACGAATCATCTTGCTAGGTGACTTTAATGCCCGTGTAGGCAAACAACAGAAATATGGCCTGACGTATTGGGAAAACAATGGAAAACGCAAATAGCAATGGTGAACGCTTATTAACAACATGCGCAGAGTATAATCTTTGCATCACCAATACGTGGTTCATGTTGATGAACAAGTTTAAAGATACCTGGAAACATCCTAGATCAGGCCACTGGCATCAATTGGACCACATAATCGTTCGAAGGATGCATCTAAAAGATGTTAGGCTCACAAAAGCTAGAATAGATGCCGAATGCGGCACTGACCACCGACTTTTAATTTCAAAAATGAAAATCCAGTTAAAACCCAAACATCCACGCTGTAAAAAGCAAAACAACATGACCAGATTGAACGTACGGGATCTAGAGAACAAGAATACCGCCGACGCCCTCCGGGAAGCCATCAAAGAATCACTTCCACCGATAACTTCAATCTCAATATTGGAAGCTGAACAAGACTGGACACAATTAAGGGATGCGATTCATAAAACCAGCGAAGCAGTACTGGGAAAGTCGAACAAAAAGAAACAACCAGACTGGTTTGACGAAAATCAACAGCATATACAGGCTTTTTTGGAACAAAAGCATAGAGCACATCAAGCCGTCACTGCAAATCCACTTAATCCAAGACTGGTAGATAACTTTAAAGCAGCCAACAACACCCTTCGAAGAGAACTGCGCCAAGTAAAGGATAACTGGTGGTCACAAAAAGCGAATCAGATTCAAGAGTACGCCACTCATCACGATTATCGTAAATTCTTCGAGGCTGTAAAAGAAGTATACGGTCCAACTAAGAAGGTAAGCTGCCCAATCATGGCTCAAAATGGCGAACTTCTAAAAGAGGAAGAACAAATCAGAAATCACTGGAAAGAACATTACAGCCATATCCTTAACCAAGAAAACAACCCCAATATGGAAGCACTAAACACAATACCTCAGTATAACAGCCTCGATGTATTAGACATCCCAATAACAGAACAAGAAATAAAGACCTCCATAAAACAGCAACAAATCAGCTGGCTGTGACGCGATTCCGGCGGAAATCTATAAGTGTGCAAGTAAAGAAATTATGGATCATCTTAAGGCTCTCTTTGATGTCGTATGGGAAAGCGGAGAGGTACCTCACGATTTTCGCAACGCGAATATAGTGAATATATTTAAGAACAAAGGAAGTGCATCAGACTGCGGTAATTACCGGGGAATTTTGCTATTAGCTATCGGCGGAAAAATTCTTGCAAAAATAATGTCAAACCGCCTGCACCCATATATAGAAAAAAAATCCTCCCAGGATCGCAAACGGGTTTTCGTACCAACCGCGGCACCGTCGATTCCATATTTTCCATCCGTCAACTACAGGAAAAAGTAAAAAAGCAGCAGTCTAAACTTTATGTTGCATTCATCGATCTAACAAAAGCCTTCGACTCTGTGAACAGAGATGCGCTTTGGGCAATTATGGAAAAGTTCGGAGTACCCAACAAATTTCTTACAGTGTGTAAAAGCCTCCATAACAACAACAAGTCAAGAGTGTCACATCATGGATCACTGAGCGACCCATTCCTAACAAATACAGGAGTTAGGCAGGGATGTGTCTTAGCGCCTCTCCTATTCAACATATTCATGGCAGCGCTCTCCATTATAGTGGACAGCAAACTGCAGGAGAGAGGATTGGGCATTAGATACAGATATGACGGGGTCTGTTCAACATAAAAAGACTCAGGGCAAAAACACGTACAAAATTTATCACAGAACTTCAATACGCTGACGACTGCGCTCTAGTTGCAAACACGGTACAACAATTACAAGAAATGTTGAACACATATACCTGGGCATACGAGGCTTTGGGCCTTAAGCTGAACATCGGCAAAACTAAAATCATGTGCACTCCCCCGGAAGATCACAACAATGCTATAAAAATCGGAGAAGAACTATTCGAATATGTGGCGGAATTCAATTACCTTGGCAGTTTGATTTCGGAAAAGGCCAATATTGACTCTGAAATTCAGCACAGGATTAGTAGCGCCTCAAGAGCATTCTGGAAATTAAAAGACAGGGTTTTCTACAATCATGACTTGAGTACAAAAACAAAACTTGCAGTATACCGAGCAATTATAATCCCCACCATGATATATGGGAGCGAAACCTGGGTGCCTTACCGCCGACACATGAACGCATTGAACAAGTTGCAACAGAGACACCTTAGACAACTCTTAAGAGTCCGGTGGTTCCATCATGTCTCAAACGTATCGGTCCTTGAAAAATCTAACTGCGAGAGTATTGAAGTCATGGTCACAAAATCCCGCTTAAGATGGGCTGGTCACGTATGCAGAATGCAAGAAAACCGCATACCAAAATCTCTGCTTTACGGTGAGCTTGTGGACGGTAAGAGGAGGCCGGGTGGACAACTGAAAAGATACAAGGACATTTTCCACGAAAATTTAAAGGGAATTAACATGCAGAATGAGTGGGAAAAAGCAGCTCACAATAGAACTCAATGGAGAAGGGTTGTAAACTCAGT